CCTCCCCAGGGCCCTGCACCAGGAAACAGGCTTGGCCCTGGGCCTCTGCCACCTTCTCTGTACTCCCCAGGAAGGGACGGCCAGAGTGAGGTTTTGGAAGAGTCCAGACCGACTTAAGGACTGGATTTAGCCGCACTTCCCGAGTGCCTACCGTGCGCCCTGCCCCATTTGGCGCCCTCGGCTCCCTCGAGGGTGCAGAGTAGGTGCGGGCGGAGGGTGTCTCAGCCGAGAAGAGCGCCTCACAAGCTGTGGGCCCAGGCAGCCCCGTTTCCTCTCGAGATGAGATCGTTTTCACCCCCTAGAGAGGCATCTAGTGCACTGGTGTGTTCCCAGGGGGCCCTTCTGATCATGTGTGGGTCACCCTGACACTGGTGACCCAAGATGCCACAAGAGGCTCACGGGTCTCACTGGCTCCTCTGTCTGTAGGCTCAATGGGAAGCCGCGATTGCATCTGAGCGTGCAGACGAGGCGTGGGCTGGGGGGGACCTGGGTGGGTACAGATCCACCAGACAGGGTCCCGAGGAGGGCAAGGGTCTCGGCAGCCACCTCCATGGGGCACGCTGACAGAACTGAGGTTTATCAGGGACACACATGCTACCCTGAGGCAGCAGGGATTCAGGCTTTAGAGTCAGACAGACCCTGGTTCAAATCCCAGCCCTGCTGCTTAGTGGCTGTGAGACATTAGGCAAGTTACTTAACCTCTGTGAGCCTCAGCCTCCTCATCTGTAAAATGGGGCTAATGGTACATAGCTCAAGCAGCTTAACAAGTGTGACACAAACTGGCCATTAGTGTTCTAGACCACCTCTGACTAGGACAGACCTGGGCCAAAGAGAGGGGGAACTAGAGCTTGTCTGCTTTTCTCTCTCAAGAAGCCAGGGCATGGCCGGCAGCCACGGCTCACCAGGAGCCTGCAAAGGGGAGGCACTTGGCCCAGGGCTGTCCGAGATCACTAGGGCTCAAACTCCATGTGGACCAACCGCCTGGGGATCTGGCTGAGATGCCAACATGGACACACGAGGCCCCGGTGCGGCTGATGCTGCAGGTCTGTGGGCCCCACCTTAAGTTAGAGCTTCAGGCGAGCTCCAGGTCCTTCCCAACACCGCGGAGCGGGGAAAGCAGCTGGGGTACCACCAGCTAACTAAATACCACTAACTAACTACCACTGCTAACCCTGCCTCTCTGGGGGCCTGAGGTGGGATTAGAGCACTGTGCCTCAACTCTGATGTCCCTAAGAATCTCTCAGGCATGAATGCTGACTTCTGGGTCCCTTCTGCAGAGATGTTGAGTGGGGGATGGGCTGAACATGCCCTTGGGGACCGTAAGGTCAGTGGGTCTGGGCTGGCTGCACAGCCAGCAGCGTGGGAGAGTGCAGGCCGGCTGTGCCCTCACTCGGGGGACAGCGGCACCTCCTCTGCCTGTCATCTGTAAAATGCAGGGAGCAGTGTGCTCTGGGAAGGCCAAAAGCTTGTAAATATAAAATACCCAGCACAGGGCAGTAGCAGGTGCTCAAGAAATGCACACAGGATCCTCATGTGCACCCAACACAAACACAGGGGGAGCAGAGCGGGGCAGCAGGAGAGGCAGGAAGCAGACCCAGGAGGAACAGACCTGCAGAGCACGTCGGAAGCCTGTCTCCTTGTCCTGGATGCAGCCCATTAGCAGGTAACTGAAGGTCTCCTCAGTGACAGAATGCCCTTTCTGGACGATTTCCTGGGGGAGGGAACGAGGAGGCCCACTGAGAATCTGCAGCGGAGCCCAGGCCCAGGCCTGAGGGGACTGGCTCAGGTCTGCACGTCTTGAAGCGGTGGGGCCTGAATCTGGCTGTGGGGCCAACACAGTCCCAGCTCCCGAGCAGAGCTGTCCAGCTGCTGCCTGCACTTCCTCCTCCTCTCCTTCCCAGCCTCTCTTCCTGGCTCTGCTCCCATCACTTCTGTGCAGCCCATCTACAAACACTACCCCAGCAGCCACTTTTAACCCCTGCATACGAGGCTTTGGAATTGCACGGAACTGGCTTCAGGTCCTGACTTCACCACTGGCCAGCCATGAGAGTGTGGGCAAAGCATTAGGCCCCCTGGCCTCAGTTTCCTCATCTGTGGAGTGGGGTCACAGACTTGCCTTATAGGATCTTTGGGATGACCCCTCAGTGAGTACCAACTCATCTTCAGTGCTACGAAGCCCACTCCCCACTGTCTACACCACCACAGAGTCCCACACAGCACAAACGACCCACCACCCTCACTGGGCTGGAGGCTGTCAGACCGAGGCCTCTGAGAACGGGGTCTCACTGGATTCATCTACGAAGCCCAGAGCTAGCCTAGAGCCTGTCTCATTGGCCCCCGAACCTTCCCACATGAGGAACACAGACAGCACAGCCTCACACCTGCCACACGGCTCACTCTGAGTGGAGAGGAGGAAGGAAGGGATGTCCCCACCTTAAACACATCCAGGCACATTCTGAGGTCTGCACACATGGCAGCCACCTTCAGCAGGGCATGGTATGTTTTCAAGTTGAGCTGGTAGTTTCTGGCCCGCAGCTGCTGCCGTAGCTTCAGGGCGCTCTGCAGAGCCGAGTCCTTCCAGGGAGATTCAGCGCAGACGTTGAACAGGGCTGTATAGGTGGCGTCTGAGGGCTCCAGGTCCCGCTTCTTCATCTGTGGAGATGGGGGAAAAGGAGGAGGTGGCTCTGGGATCTGCCAGATGCACAGGCGACAGCCACTCTGGGAGGGAGCTAGACAGGACTCTGCCCCTGAGACAAACAGGCCTGGGAGCAGGGCCGTGCTTGGCCCTCCAAACCCCCAGCTCAGCCTGAGGGACTTGGAGAACTGACCCTGCACCCCAAAAGCACCAACAAGAAACCGTCATCCCGTGAGTGACGCACTAGCAGGTGACATGTTCAGGATCTGCACCGAGCCCTCTTTGGAACCAAAGCTACGGTCTTTGGAGCCTGGTCCCTGCCACCTCCATGCCCCACGCTCACGTCATTGTAGAGCCTGAAGGCCTTCTTCAGGTAGCCGGCCCGCCCACAGCCCCCGATCAGCACCGTGTAGTTGCACTCGAGGGGCTGGAGTTGCTCCTCCTTCAGCATCTGTCTCTCAAACAGGTCCATGGCCTCAACCAGCTGTGGAAGATGAGGGGTAAGGAGGACACAAGGGAAGGGGCTCACGATGGCCTCGGAGACCCTCAGCAGAGGGAGGGAGACTGAGGCTGAGGGACCCTCCCTGAACCCAAGCCTGCTTAGGAGCCAAACACCCACTCTGGGCCTCTGCCACCAGTCTCTTGGTCCCTGAGCTCAGAAGCAAGAGAATTTTGTGATGGCCAGGAAGGAAAGGCCACCAGACATCCACCACCTATGAGAGCTCTGGGGTCCCACTGCCGTACGGGACTCCCAGAGGGCAGGGGCAAGGCCCAGGGGAACAAAGATCGGAAAGAGGGGAGGGGAGGAGCCATGTGCAAAGGCCCTGAAGCAGGAGTGTGCCCGGGAGCTGGAGGAGCAGGGAGGAGGTTGAGGTGGCTGCAGGGAAGTAAGTAAGTAAGTGAAGGAGGGGGAGATGAGAGCAGAGAGGTAAGGGAGGGGGGCAGTTCTTATAGGCCATTGTGAGGACTCTAGCGTCTTTTTGTATATTTCTCAACCTTTCATTATGGAAACTCTCAAGGGTACACAAAAGGAGAGAGAACAGTGTAACTACAATGACTGCTAATGTTTGGCCAATCTCGTCTAGTCTATACTCTGCACCTCTCCACCAAGCTGAATTTTTTAAAGCAAATTCCAGACATCCCATCGTTTTATTCACAAATTTTTCAACACATACCTCTAAGAGATTTTTAAACATGAATGGAAGATCATTACCAAACCTAAGAATGTGAACCCCATCAATGTCACTGACTGCACTGGGGGCTCTAGAGAGAGAAGTAATGCCCTGAACTCCCTGCTGGAGCCAGACGGGCTCTGTCCTGTGAGCCCATGTCGAGGCAAGAGATGGAGAGAGCCTCGGGGAGACAGCCCAGTGACAAGCGCTGTGATCGCTAAGGCAGGGCCGAGGAGGAGGCTAGGCCTGGGTGTTCAGAGGTAGGCTGTGAGCAGGCAGGACTGGCGACATTTGGAAGCTCGATCTGGCAAGACAGAGAAGACTTAGGGATTACCTGGAGGCACTTGGCCGCGGCTGATGGCACAATGGGTCTGCCATTTAGTGAAATGAAGAAAGTGTAGGGAAATCAAGGCTGGGAACAAAAATTTCAGGCGTGTAAGGGAGATGGTGAGGAGGCATTTCGCTACACTGATCGGAAGTCCATGTTTGGCCGGGCCAGAAAGAGGAGGATGAGGACTGCATGGAGGAGGGGGACACTGAGAGCGAATAGGCAGGTGGGTCACCCGGTGCAGGACCCGGGGTGAGGGAAGACAGAGAGGAGACACGAGCCCTGAGCACCCCACCACTCAGAGATTATCAGGAAGGAGGGATGGCCCCTCACGAAATACTGAGGCACCAAGGAAGTAGCAGCTGGGAACAGCAGAATGCGAAGGCTCCCTACCTTTCCTTCCTTGATCAGGCGTCTGCACTGAAGGAAGTACCAGTAAGGGGTGTTTCTCCGGCCCCGCCACAACTTTGGCTCCAGCTCCCCTTCCTCATCTTCAATACTCTGTTCCCTGAGCCGTAGGTTATACAACTGGGCTGTTGATTTGTGGAACATTCTCCGGGAGGAGTATTTGTCGGAGAGAGTCCCAAAACTCTCCTCTTCCTCTTCCTCCTGGGTGGCTGTGGGGCTGGGCTGGCTTGGTTTCGAGCTGAGGCTGCCTGTGTTCTGGCTTCCCTGGCCAAGAGACAGCTGAGAGAGGGAGCTGCTGAAGGCTGCTGGCGCTGGCCGAATCAGCCCTGTGGCCCTCACCCGGGTGGGACCCTCCCTGCCTCCTGCCCATCTGGCTCCGAGAGGGTCAAGGTGCTGTAGGATGGACAGTGCTAGGGGGCGGGGGCCAGAGAAGAGCCGAGTGAGTCTCACGAGGTCCATCTCTGGCGTTCTCCTCCAGGGCCTGGCATAGGTCAGCAAAATAATGAGAGTCAACTCGAGTTCATAGTCACCAAGGGCAAAAGGGAGACTGAGAAGTGTATACAAGCATGAGCCCTAAGGTTAGAAAGCCTCAGTTCAGATTTCAGCTCTGCTAAACAACCATCCATGTGTCCCTGGGCACCCGTTGCTCTGGCCTCAGTCTCCTCACCTATAAACTGGGGTTAACTAACATTACTCACACAGCACCATAGCAATGAGTAATGAGGTCTCAGACATACAGTGTCCAGATAAATCTCGGTGCTGGCACAGTGAATCCTCAACAAACATAAGACTATTGAAGTATGTTATCAAGCCATGACCTAAGAGATCTGGGTACTGAAAGCAGAGCTGACTTTGAGCCCTGGACAGAGCTGTGTAATTGGGCCCATTGCTGGACCTTCCTGGGCCTTGATTTCTTCAGCTGCAAGATGAGAATCCCACCTTATCACAAAATTATAAAGATGAAATGAGATGTTTTTAGCACAATGCCTGGGGTTTAACAGGTGTTCAAAAAATTGTAGCCATTATCACTTATTATTAAGAAAAAATTGTTGGCATTTTGGGTCTCTACACAGGGAAGTTAACTTAAGCACTTCTTTTCTGCAAAATTTGTGGACAAATGGGCTACAGCCATGCTGTCCAATGTGGCTAGAGTACCTGAAATGTGGCTAGTCTACATGGAAATGTGCTGTAGTGTAAATTATACACCATATTTCAAAGACTTTGTTAAAAAAAAAAAAGAGGTAAAACACACACAATTTTCTTATGGGTTGAAATGATATTTCAGATATCCTGGGCTAAAAAAATTTTAATACTAATTTTGCAATTTTTAAACTTTATTTCACGTGGCTACTTAAAAGTTTAAAATTACATAGGTGCTCACGTTATATTTCTACTGCACAGTGTGAGGCTAGTGAATCTGGTCTGCATACTTGAAACTCTAAATAAAAATACCAGAATAACAAGCACGAAAACATTTGAAGTCTTGTTATACTGGGAGGTCACCATTGGAAAGACCGCAGGGGTGATGACAGATGGGGACAGATTAATAACAGGGGCCCAGGGAGGGGAGTGACTTGCTGGGGGCCCTGCAACAGTGCGGTGGGCCAGACTGGCTAGGTAGGTCTGGGAACTGGCTGGCTTTAAACCCCAGTTCCTGGTAACGTATCAGATGGCCTCTCTGGACCAGCTCCCTAGTGACACTAGTGCAGAGGGCCTTTTCCACTATGCACCTGGTGAGGCTCCAGTAGAAATGTAGTGTGAGTATGTATGCAATTTAAAATATTCAAGTAGCCACTTAAGAGTGTTTACACACGTTAATCAAAAGACAAAGAATTTGAGTTACTGATGTTGAAACAGGCACCAAAATGCTTTTTAAACAAACGCTGTATTAGTATATATGCTCCTTTTTCAAGCATGAAATAAAGTCCAATCGTCACGTCAAAGTGGTGATGACTGTAAAAGACAGTAGATGCAGATACTCTATCTCCAACCAACATTTTCACTCATCCCCCTTTGAAATCACGACTTCGTCTTGGGCACAGTGAACGCCACTTGGCCGGTCACGGAAGGACATGGTAAATTTCACACAGCGACAATAAAGGTGTCATTTCTTCCTCCCCAAGTTCCTCCCCAGCTTAATAACCCCTGAATTAGAGACACGCTGCCGCCGTCCTCCCTCGGGGAGGACGCTCCCCGGAACCCTCAGGACAACCCGACCCTTCTCCACGCTGACCTTCAGAGCCCCGCCTTTTCTTCGGGGGACGGTCCTCGGCTCCGGCTCGGGCTGAGACCCTCGCC